CTCTCTGTGAGTCCCACTGGAATCTGCAAGCTGCTCATGTCCTGTGCCATCAGCTAAACTGTGGCTATGCCAAGTCTATACTGACAGGAGGCCTTTTTGGTGAAGGTGATGGAATTGTATGGAGACATGCTTATCATTGTGAAGGGACAGAATCCTGCCTGTGGGACTGTGTGCTTACTGCACTGGGTAAGCGGCCTTGCTCCTCCAGAGAAACAGCCGGGGTTATCTGTTCAGGTAAGTTGTATGTACAGAGATATTAAATACAGTTCAACTCTGGGCCAGATGTAGATCTTTCTGAGCAGGTTCATTGACCTTGATGCAGAGTAAGTAGGGATGGCATTCTCCTTTTCCCCATAAAGGCTGCTTGGACATCCAAAGTGTATGTGGCTTTCTGTTGCTCTCTGTGGCCACATAAGTACTAACGTTAGATGCCTGCCTAGCTGTCAACAGGGCAGAAAGCCTGTGTATTTACAGGTAGGCATCCAAGGGTCCAGACTGGTTTGTGTATCTGGCCACCCAGACGGGTGATTGGGGGCACTGTCCCTGACATGGCCCCTGGGACCCCGTGCCTCCACTCTTACCCCTCCCCAGCACATACACAGCAGTTAGCACATAGGAGACTGCACAGAGTTAGACAGCTCTCAGTAGCCCCACAAATGCACACAAGAACATTTGTGTAGGTGTCCAAATGAGCGGTGGCCAAAAATGGTTATGTGGATGACCAAACAATATTGGCATTCTATTACCACATGGGAATCAACATCTCTGGGTGGCCAGATCGCCTCCTCCCGCTTTATAGATGCATTGTTTATGGCACGCCACAGCCAGCAAGATGTCCATGGACCTGCAGTTCAGTCTCACTCTCAGGCTTGTTGCTGCTGGTAAGGCAAAGTCCACAAAAGAGGGAGCTGAGCTAGGTTAGGGGAGGGTCAGGATACACTGTGCTGCTTCTATTTGCTGCCTCAGTTTTTCCCTAGGGAGTTGCAAAACAAAACAGAATTTAAGGACCATAACCTATGGGAGCTAACCAGAGAGGGATTCTTGGAGACTCTCCCTGCTTTTAACTATGGCCATCTGTGGGGAGAATTGTGGCAGTGGGTCAACTCTGTGGGAGACCATGGATAATTTGTGGAGTCCATCCAAAAGAAGTGGACAGACCTGAGCGATGGGCAAAATTGCACATCCTTAAAGAGAGGCAGGTTGTTATAGGGAGCTTTTCTGGGAAGCTGCCAGTTGATGCATGAGACCCTATTGCACCTAGTGGCCACCACAGTTACTGTGCCATGGGCCAGCAGTGTTTGTAGGACTCAGGAACTGGGCCGAATTATGACCTGCTCAGTTCATCTGTGAAATGCTCCCTTCAAATTGAAGGAGGGCTGAGTCAAACCTGCTGGGACAGCAGGGAATCTGTGATGTACACATGTCCAGCTTACAGCACAGGGTCATTTCCGCCATTAACTCCAGTGTAGTAGGAGGCTCTGCCTGACCACAGCACTGGTGACACCCTGAGATTATAGGAATGTAGGGCTGAAAGGGATCTCATGGGGCCATCTAATTCTGTTCCCTGCTCAAAGTAGGATCATCCTGAATAAACCATCCAAGCTATGTGTCTATCTAAACTGCTCTTGAAAATTTCTAGAGATGCCAGAGAGTCCACAACTTGTCTAGGTATCCTTTTTTAATGCTTGACCTCCTTCAGAGGGGGAAAGGTCTTCCTAATTTCCATCCTAATTAATTTTGTTCCAGTTTGAAGCCACTGCTTCTAGTCTTGTCCCTTATACCCACAGAAGAAGTCTGTCTCCATCCTCTTTATAATTGCCTTCAGGTATTTGAAGACTGTTATCTAACCTCCCCTCACTCGTCTCTTCTTCAGAATAAAGAATCCTTTCAGTCTTTCCTCAGAACTCATGTTTTCCAAGTCTCTTAATTATTTTTGTCCATCTCTGCCAAACTCTTTGTAATTTGTTGATATCTTTTTTGAAGTGTGGGGCCCAAAATTTAGCGCTGTACTCCAAGTGAGGTCTCACTAGTGCCAAACAGATTGGAAGAATCACTTTCCTTGATTTGCAAGTAATACTCCTTTTTATACAACCCAGTATGTTGTTGGTTTTTCTTTCTTTTCTTTTGTTGCAACCAGGGCACTACTGGCTCATATTCAGGATATGATACACCGTAACCCCCCGGTCTTTCTCTGTAGTACTGTATGCTAGCCAAACATTCCTCAGCTAAACTTTCCCCAGTCTGCATATAATTATCCCCTCCTTTTGAAACACCTTTCAGCACTTTCATCTAATTTATATGTCCTCATCTTACTAAAGAGATTATCATAGGAGACAGTGTCAGAAGCTTTGCTAAAATTAAGGTATTTCACATCCACTGCTCTCCTTGCATCCACACATCGTGTCACCTTATTAAAGAAGGATATCAGGTTGGTCAGGCATGACTTGCTCTTGGTGAATCCATGCTGACTGTTCCCGATCACTTTGTTCGCCTCTAGATGCTTTGAAACAGATTCTTTGAGGACCTGTCTCCTGATATTTTCTGTAATTCTCCAGATTCTCTTTTTCTTTTCTTGAAGATGAGCACTATAGTTGCTCTTTTCCAATCCAGCGCCTCACCTGACCTCCACAACTTTTCAAAGGTGATAGCCAATGGCTCTGAAATTACCTTAGCCAGTTACTTCAGTACAATTGAGTGCATCCCATGTAGATTTACCAACTTGAAAGCAACTAGCTTCTTTAAGTAATCCCTAGCTCATTCTTCCACAATTCCTGGGAGTTTGTCTCCTGCCCTGCTCCACTGGTTTTTGCTGCCAACTGCACTCATCATCTGGTAGCTACCTATAGCAACCTGCCTCTCCTTAAAGAGGTGTGATTTTGCCCACCTCGTCTCAGCTCTGTCCACTTCTTTTGGATGGACTCCATGGATCACCCATGGTTTCCAACAGAGTTGATCCACTGCTACCAGAGTTGACCCTTATTTGTGAAGACTAAAGTAAAAAAGGTCTTTCAATACTTCAGTTCTTTTTGCATTCTCAGTAATGAGACCTTATTCCATTACGGATCTACTCTTTCTTTGTTCTTCCTCTTAAAATGGGATTCTACAAATCAGAAGTATCCCTTGCCATTTGCATCTGAAATCCTTCTTTGGCTTTCCTGATTTTTCTCCCTTTATACTGGTGTCATGAGCAGCCTCTGTGATACAGCTGTGAATTAAGGCCAATGTAATTCTAGGGTGCATCAGGCAGGGAAGGCAAAATATAAACAGGTGCTAATACTGTTATATAAAGCATTAGTAAGATCCTATTTTAGGGTACAGTGTGCAGGTCTGGTCACCGATGTTAAAACAAAAGATAAACTTAAACTGGAATGAAAGAAGGGCCACTAATATGTTTAAAGTATTGGAGACCTTTTCTTATGACAGAAGATTAATGGAGTTTAGTTTGTTTAATTGTTTAGTTTAATAAAACAGTGACTGAGGTGTGATATTGTAATTCTATCCAAGTTCATGAATAGAATTAATATTAGGGAAAATGAAGTTTTTTTTTCCTGTAAAACAACATTCCCACAAGGTCAGATGGCTAAAAAATGGCTCTGGAACTATTTAGATTGGTAATTAGAAAATGATTGTTAGTTATCAGAGAAGTGAAATTTTGGAATTATCTTCCCAGCAAACCGGTGAGGGCAAGAAACCTATATCTTTTTAAGTATGAATCGGATAAATTTATGGAAGTTATATTAGGCAAAAATGACCAACAAACACACACTTGAACAAACAAACAAAAATCTAAAGCACAGATGGAAAATAATCCAGTAATAGCATGCAGCAGTGGGAGCAGGTGTAAATGTGGGCAATCTTGTACTTAACAGCTATCATACGGTTGCCTGCAACTGTAGGAGACTTGGGTAAAAAACTGGGCAATCCCTGCCTCTTGTATTCCTATGTTACGTTACTTCAGCAGACAAACATATAAATCAGTGTGCATCTATGCATTATTTCTACTTAAATAAGAGCAACTAAAATTATCCACTTCATTCCTCATCTCTGCTGTGTCCAGGTCACTCAGGATCCCTCAGACTGTTGGAAGGAGAAAGCCAGTGCGATGGGCGAGTCGAGATTTCCCTTGGAGATGTATGGGGCAGAGTCCTGGATAATCAGTGGGACATGAACGAGGCCAGTGTAGCGTGCAGGGAGCTCCAGTGCGGAGATGCTGAGAAAGCCTATAGCATCCTGAAGTTTGAGCAAGAGACAGGCCTCGTGGGGCTGAGAAGTGTCCAGTGTGTGGGACACGAGCCTCGTCTGACACTCTGCAACATCTCCTTGTCTGGGACAGTGCAAGCAGGAATCGCTGAGGATGTTGGCATCATCTGCTCAGGTGACTTCTTCTGAAAATCCTAATAACATGCTCTCCCTGTGCAGGAAAAATGTAACCCCTCCTAGGGCCTGCTTCCAGCCCACCGCAAGCTGTGATCCCACCAGACTGAATATCTGTGGCTCCTAATGTAACACTTCATTTATATAAAAATATTTACATAAATGTATTTATAAAAATATTTATATAAACCTATTTATATAAAAATATACCTGTTATATGCAGAAACAAACATAGCAGCATTATTACGTTAATGCACTGCAGTCATCTTTCTCTTTCTTTTAGCTTTGCACTGGAATTTTACTTATTTATTTGGTCATCAGAAACTTTCCCAATGAAATAGCTTTTCACTTAGAAGTCTGTTTTCATTAGAAATGCTGGGGAGGGGAGGAGGTCCCTGGGCACCCAATGAGATCAGTGCTCTCCCCTCCACCCCATTTAGGGCAGTCTGCCCTCACTCTCTTGTCACACCTTGATGTAAATAGATAAAAATATGGGAGGCTGCCCTAATTGCAGCCCTGGTGTACTGGGCCAAATACACAGCTCCAAACCACCACTGCACCATGTCCCATACCTCACAGATGGCATCCAGTTCTCCTTACTACTCCCCTGGCCCCTTACTAGGCCACACTTGGTCTCTGACTGACACATGACTCAGGTTCTTGTTGGTAGATCTTGGCCCCTCACTAGACCACTCCCTTGACTTGTCTCTGGTCTACACTCTGCCCCCTTACTGGGCCATACACTCATTTCACCCCCTTACTGGGCCACACACACACACTCTGGACCTTTTGCCCCTTGGGACTCAGGTCCCACTTGGTGTACCTTGGCACCTAGCCTTTCCCCCTCTATGGGGTGACCCACAAAGCAGTAGGGGCTGAGGCTTCATGGCACCTCATCCTTACCTTGCACTGGGGAGGCACAGGTGTGGCATTTCCTGGGGGTTGCCCCACCACAGACAGTCCCACCGCACCATCCAGCCCCAGCAGGGTGTAGTTTCAGGTCTTACCTAGGGCCAGAAGGAACCTCCTCCATCCCCATAGTTCCTACCCTAACCTCCAGGTGTTATAGGAGCTTCAGGCTGTGTGGTGTTATTCCTTTGGCTCCCCAAGTGCAACTGCCCGCCTGGCTCCCAGGGTCTGGGCTTATATTCTGCTTGCCCAGCTGTCCTCCAATCAGGCATCCTCCTGCAGTCAGATGACTGCCTGATCGGACCTGAACCCACCTGCTGGCTACTCCACAACCTGCCTGATCTTCTAAAAGTGGCAGGCACAACCTGTGCATGGCCACGCAGACCAACTAAATACAACCAACAACCTTGCAAGTTTGTCTCATTTCTTCCAGGAAAAAAAAAATGTCCCTACAATTCTCAAATATGTTATATCTTTCTAATATGAAAGTTTTGAATAATGTGCTGTCTAGAGTCAGAAAAGAAGAATATAACCAGGAAGCCATATTTAATCCATTTTATTCAGGAGTGCCACAGATTGCAGCTCTAACAGGAATTAAGTAAAATGCCTTTTTATAGTGTGATATTGTTAAATCCTAGTCATACAGCTGGGAAATATTCTATATAAATAATGGAAAAAAGTCATTTGAATGTTCTCTCTGTGGATGAATTTCCTTTACTACTCCACAGTAAAAATACCATAGGATAATAACATTAATATCCTCCCCCAAACAGGTTGTATACATAGTATGCATATCCAAGCAGGCACACATGCACATATTTTTCTGCATTATTCCATTGGTGCAAGGGCCTTTTCCTGCTTGCACTTGAAGCTTTGCTTTGTCTTCAGTGGAAATAGAAGGGAATCCCAAACACATGGCATTTAAACATGAACTCTCTGGGCTAAGTACCGTTTTATTTTATGCACCTAATTTCAGTTTGTGGCATTTTCACATAGTTTGCAATTCAGCTAGTTCTCACTGACCAGACAAACTTTTGAACCTGTACCTTCTGTGTCCCAACACATTGCATGTACAATTAGGCAAAAGGCTAGTCACTACCTTGAGCTTTTTTCACACTTCCTCACCTGTGGCCTGGTCATTAGGGTGCTTTTCCAGGAAGCAAAAGAAGCAGCTCAAACTCTTTCTAGGTGAGGGCAGCTTAGAGCCCTGGGCCTCCACTTGCGGGCTGAATGCTCTATGTACAAGGCTACTGAGGTAAAAGTTGATGGGCTTCACCTTACGACTTGCAATAGGTAAAAAGGAGGGGTAATTCTGTTCTATCACGTGGTAAAACAAAGTCCCAAATTGCACACAGGGGCCAAAAGTTCCAGCTATGTTTAGGTATATAAGGCATATAAAAGAAATGGGTTTTTAACCCCTTGAGCACACTGCCATTCTTAATTACATTTTAAATTAATATGTACCACAGTTCTTTTTCTCTGCTTCTCTGGTTCCTTGACAAGTCTGCAACAATGAAAAAGAAAACTGGTGGCTTTAAAAATATGTTAATTAATAGAACAGATCCGTAACATCCTTGATACTTACCATTTATGACCTACTTAAAAAAAGTCGAGTATTCCAATCAAGGAATGATTTTGCAAGCCCATAGCGTGACCATGAGTTCTTACTTACTTGTAATGCCTGAATAAGATTGCACAGATGAATAAAGAATTTAGTTCGAGGCTCTCATATTACATGCTTTTTATCTATGAATCTCTTGGAAAAATTGCCATCATTCCTTAATCCAGGGTTGGCCAACCTGTAGCATAGGTGCCACAATTGGCATGGACAGTTTCTGCATTGCATGCAGCAGATTTGGGAGAGGAGAGGCAGCACCATGGCAGATAAGGTAGGGATCAGAAAGAAGAATTTCAGAGCAGCAGATCCAGCAGGGAGCAAAGGGCAGTGAGCAGAAGGCTGAGGTGGATAAGGGCAA